GTGGTCCGTTGTTTGTGCTTTTTATCTAAGTAAACTTCTACATAGGCATCGTTTTTACCAAATGTATCTTGATCCTTTAGACGACGTCCTTCTGCAATGACTACTTCTAACGTACCGCTAGGCATGATGTGTAGAGATTAATGGCTATGTTGAGCACACGACTCCTCTACATATGCATGTGATAAGAGCCAATAACTAACTTTTATTCACTCATTTATATTCAATGAATCATGTTATTTGTCTTCTTGTTGTTTTAAGGAGACGTGCCAGAGAGAGAAAAAAAATCTACAGTAAATATTGATGCAGCGGTGACGATCATATATACTCTACTGTGCAAATAGCAAAAAGAGCGACGATAATGATTAAGATTCTCGCCACTGTTAACAAAAAAAACGCACCATATTCTTCGTATAACCAGTATAAGTATATCAGTCAATATTGTGCCATCGCGAGCAACAATACATTGTGAGTAATGAAAAAGAAAGATATAGACTACAACACATGAATGTTTTTTTAATGCGTATTAGGTTTTCTCTCAATAGCGCACATCTAGCTTCGATTTTTCTACGAATTTTAACGCTAAATATAAACCAAACATTGCTGCATAATCGTACAGCATAATATGATTCGTGATTAACGTTGAAATTAACCAGGTTGATGATGTAATTCATTGCATTGGTGAGAGAATGGTGTTCAACAGTCGATGACATGATAATAGCTTGATATCAAAGTGAATATGGTTTCATTGTTTTAGTTGCTTGGAAGTTTGGTAGTCAAAAGTAAGGAACTCAGTCCATACTAAGATTTTATTCAAAGAAGTCAAACAAAGTAAAAAAGACTTACTGGTGAAATAAACAGTTCGTTACAACTAATCAAAATATATGTTTAGCTCATTTCATATATATTTACTGCAGTTCAAGAGCCTGAATATATCACAGAACAAGTTCGAGGGTGGATGTGGATATGATAGTGATGTCTGTGAGGATATTGATATGAATGTTGTTTAAGTAGAGTGATCTCTACACTCACACCCACAAAATTAATTTACTACGTATACAAGTTCAGGTGCAGTTATTAATTATATAATTTAAAATGCATTATTTGAGATTTTGATTAAAATTCATTATTTGTTTTTTCTCTCTACTCTATCAATATGGTTTTTCATTATTTTTTCAGTATATTATACCGATTCTCAATCCACAAAACTTTCAATCGATCATATACGTATAATCAGTTGGTGTTTAGAGCGTTAGAGATGTTTAACTTTTAAAAAAATGTGTTCATTCAAACGATAAAAATGTTTTTCAAAATACTTCTAATCAAGTTTCTATTCAGAATTATACTTTCAATGGAATGTTTTCTACCTTGTATAGTACCTATCGTTTGTAATGTCTAAGAAAAAAAATTTTTGATCTTTTTTTGTTTTGTATCTAGTTTCATAATATTCATCACGATTCAAATGTCTAGACATGCTCTAGTTCGCCATTTTCGATGTTCATAGAAATTCGCACTAGTAGCTTATAAAGGATTTCTTTGTCGAATTAAAAGTTAATGGTGATGAATACACTCTCTAACACATGTTCATTGATTTTTTTAATATTCTCTGATTAACTGGAATATATGACACACACAAAAGAAAAATAAGATAAAATTCATAAAAGTTTTTCTAATTATTTCGTACTTTCTTTATAACTAATCGATGAAACAGACTTTTTGTTTTTCTTTATTCGAACATCAAGAGAAACGTACAATTACAAAAACGAAAAGTACAAATAGAAATCTTTTGAATACGCAATTGCTCCATTAATATGTATATTTTTAATGTTATCACAATTCAAACGAGTTTTTTTTTATTGGTGAAAGTGTTTGTTACAGTTGCTAATTGTTCATAATTAATTCGTAGTCATATGAGAGAAGGTAGATGGAAGTGATTTTCATTTAAAAATCCCTCGACATAATCAATATGAACGTTTTCAAGGCAGAGAACTCGTCAGATGGGGATACACGATGGTAGAAGTATTTTGATCATTATTATTATTCGCCTAGGGTGTGAGTGTGAGTATGAGTTTGGATAATAAGAAGAGTAACACACATTCACACCCACACCTTCAATACTTATAAACTATCAACAGAAGGCATAGCAAGACAGATAGATGAACTTCTGAAGAAAATGTTTTTTTTTTCCAAAATGCTTATGAATAAGCATTGATAAGTGATGATGGCAATACGTGCTTGGCAACACTTCAATATACGAAAATTCACAGCGGTTTTAGATAATTTAAATAATCAGATTTTTCCAAGATTTCTCTAAACCGAATTTCTAAGTTATATTGAGCGGCTTACTCAAAAATAAGTAGCTTGAAACACGAAAATATAAGCACTTTTAAGTCACTTACAGTTTGAAAAATTTTCACAGAGTAAGTTCCACAAATATCTCAATCAATGTCATTTGAACATAATTAATTTATTTTGACAGTTATTAATTTTAATTAGATTTTATATATCGATCAAGAAGCATTTATTATATTAATTAAGTTTAAATAATGAGTTAAACTAATCCATGAGTCAGTTAGATATTAATATAAATATATATAAACTTGTTACATTCTTTTATTGATAATCAATGAAAAACTTCTATTTTTTTTGTATTTTGTTGGAAATCAATTTTTCTCATTCCAATCTTTTTAGTTTCATTTTATAGAATTTATCTAAAAAATCCATCGATTGATTTATATAAAATGGATGTGGATGTTCGTGTTCGTCTACTCTTACTAAGAGCCTACACTCAGACTCATACACACCCACATCCTCTTCCAGAGTTCATTATATCTCGCAACCATTCTTTCAAGCTGCTTATTCCAATAAAATACATAGTTGATTTTAGATGAAGACATTAATTTTTTATTTTATGTTTGCATAATATTTGCTAATATTTTTCGACGACCATGGATCAAGATTTCATTCTTATTCTTTGAAATTTCAGTAGAGAACGAGAAAAAAAAGCACATACTCATACTGCTATCCACTAACTTTCACAGAATAAGAGAGGAACCAGGATTCTAGTTCCGCTGTTAGTTACCCTATCGGTGATTTGTATCCTGGATAATACAGCTTTATAGAATCAAAGTTGAAAATAAAATTATAAAACCTATCGTTAATTTGAAAATTTGGTATTACAAAGATATCCAATTGTCAAGATCTCTATGAAAATGTTTATAAGCTATCGTGTCTTATATTTTACTTTGTGATATATTTCTAGATGTACAATTATATTTTTAACTTTGCAATTAAAATATTTCCTTAACTAATCATGTATCTATTAACTTGTTTTATTCTATAATTTAGAAACTACGATCATTACTAATCGATTTTGCATTATTCTATATTGCATTCTAATTCCATTGTTTGAACAATAGCGTCTTCAATGAGTTTGAAAATTTTATTTTGTAAAAACAAAATATATTTTATTATCGGATATTTGACATGTATAACTATAGATTGAAAATAAATTTTAAGCTTACTTTAAAATAATTAATACAGAAAAACAACAAGAAAAAATTCTTCTTTTCGGTACTATATATATAAATTTTCCAGAACAAACTTTATGAAACATTTACTAGGCAATTTTGATATAATCATTCCTTTGAATGCTTTATTTACATTCAATAAACATACCAAAGATAAATGTTCATAGAACTTCTTAAATTTTCAAAATAAATCTGATATAATTGATACAAAATCATATGAGCTGTAAGTTGTTTTAATTGAGGACAAAGTTTAATAAGTAAAAGTATACATTCATATGTTGAAGTATCTTTAATCATTAAATTTGTAATTTTATTTCTATTACATATTGTTTGAAATGTTTGTGTTTCTTATATTGAACTTGAACTGATTTTAGTTAATGATATTGAATTAATTATTAATATATGAACATTGGTGAAAAATATAATAATTCCATTAATTTACCAATGCAAAAGTGATGATAATTAATACATAGTTTGAAAAGTTTTGTTAATGGTATAGTTCGATCAAGTTTAGTAGGAATTGAATAAAGAGTTACATTAGAATGATTTCAAAGTGTAAGTTCATTAACATTAGGAAAATAAATTAAATTATTTTCTATTTCTCTAATTATCTCGAATAGAAATATGATCAACTGAATATATATAATTCGTCTTTATACATGTATATGTATGCTGACATATTCCATCTTGTAGTGTGTAATGTTTTCGTCTTTTAAAAAACAAAGCAATCAAAAATAAAATATCAGTGTATTTTATTAAGTAAAATTTACCTGTATGGTTCTACGGAATAAAATCTTGCTAAATTATTTGTATATTCATATGTAAAAAGCCATTGCCTTGAATACCAAAAATGGAGGCATGAATTGATTTATTGAAATAGGAAAATCATCTTTGCTATTGTAATATTCAGTTTGAAGTTCAATATCAAATATACGTAAATATGGCATATGAGTTCGAATCAATTCTTGCCATCGATTTGCATTTAAATATCTAATATCAAATTCTGTTGAAAAACGAAACATTTTAAGTTGATGAGAAAGATTTCTAATAAATAATTTAATTTGATCAAAACTAATATTTTCGCTTTGAAATGAAAGCTGTGTTATATTAGATAATATAAAATGTTCTAAATATGTTTCTATATAATAGGATTCCAATAGTTTCTTACATGATAAACGACGGAGTTGAGGAAGATATGATAAACATACTTTGAGATGATCAATACTACAATTACTATCAATAACGAAATGTTCGATAAGACTGTAGTGATTCTTGGTGATAGACAACGGTTCATTAGAGTACCGTTCGTTTAATGATAATCTCAAATATTTTAATGCAAGTAAACGAAAGATTGTATTATAAAGTACGTTTACATTATCAAAGTAATCGATAGGCATGATAATTAATGATGATAGTTTGGGTAATGAAGATAAATATGGAAGAAGATTTGTGACGTGATTTGATTCAATTTTTTTAAAGAACAAGTATTTCAAGTCGAGGAAATCGTGATAGAGTACGAAATGGTGACGATAATAAATAAAAACTAAATAAATTTGCTAAATTGATTGAATGGATACGATTTTGATAAGGAATAAGAATATGTTTACAATAAGATTCAAAAGCGTTTTTAGACATTGATGAGATATTTATTTTAATATAAAATATTGGATTATTAATAAGACTATGATATCGAATATTAAGTTTTAAAAAAGTTTGATCAATATCATAAAAATCGAGATATTCGAATATTTCATAAATGACTTCATTTGAAAAATTTAAAAAACAGGTAAGCAAGTTTCCTGGTGAACTGAAAAATAAGAAAAAAATAATAATAAAACAAAAAAAAATACGATGCTTACCGATTCATGTTGAGTAATATTATATTTAGAATATTATAAACTATCTTTTCTTGTATTTGTCATACAAATGAATAGTGTCGTTTGATTGTGTTTATGTTCGTTTATTCATAGCAAATCTAGAAAAAAAATATTACAAGTGAATGCAGTGTAATAATTAACAAATTTATTCCTGTTTCTAATTAGATATACACATGCAAATAAAATATTATCTGTCAATCATGAATGAGACAGCAGAAAAAAGAAAAACAGATTAGATCAGCTAAGTCTATGAAAGTGAGTTTGGTTCATGTAACCACAGCAATAACCACGACTAACTTTTAGGTGACGAACAACGAGAGAATATACAAAGTAGGACAAATCTATATGATGCGCATGAAAGAAGGCATTGCATAAAAGAATAGGAACGAAAAAACCCAGAGTGATATATGACAAGGTGTAACACGAAAGTTAAATGTAACATGTTTGCAAAAGTTCAACAAAAAAAAATGAATTTCGTTATTCTGTATCTTATGAGTAACCGAAAAGAAAAAGACCAACCAAGAGCATACGCATCAATTGCATTATACTTTAATATGTCGCATTTAAGTAAATTTTATTTCTTATTTCGAATGTAGTATTCATGAGGGGGGCAGATTAACCGAGCAAAAAGCATTATCAATGTCTGACAAAAAAAACGTACATCTTATGAAGGGAACTTGTGTCAACTCAAGGGTGTGAGTGTGGGTGTGGGGTGTGGGTGGGTGTGGGTGTGGG